CTTACTACTAGTAACAAGAAGCTACTAGGAACAAGTGCATCGCTACTTATCCTTTCCAGCGAGCTCGTCGATCATGTCGATAGCTCGTCTCCTCGGTCCATATCATTGAGGGACGTTGTGGGAAACAACTGGAAACAAAGGATCCATGTGTTCAGTTTGGCTTTGGACCTCAAATGATGAATGCATGGCAGTGCATGGTGCCAAACTGTTGGGAGGGACATGGACCAGGCTGACAAAAAGACCTATGCAACCGCATGAAACTCACTTGGAGTCGGAAATGGACCCCAGACTCTGGCAGGACCGGACGTTCATCCGAGCATTTTCCGAGCACTCACACCGTCGCACAGGCTTTGAGCCTCCAACGTGCCAAAGTGGAAGTCCCTGGGACCGAGAGAGTTCCACCGAAGGGTGTCGGCGTCGGCCTCCTCACCGATTCACGAGGCCGAAAAGGCCAGGGGTGACTTTGGAGCTGCTTTTTGTTCTTTAGCACCTAAAAGATCCATTTGAGATTTTCAGGTGAATTGTATAGTGATCATATACAACGGCCGCATCATCAGCCATCGCCCGACAGTTGTGGGTGCACCCTCGAGTGGTGAGCGGCTTTGGTTCCGTTAGCGGCTTTGGCCTTCAAGGAAGGGTGATGTGGAACACTCCCAATTGGGTTTCGGACTGTAGCGGGTTTGTGAGGCTGGAGACGCCACTGAGATACTTACAATGGGGACTCAACCTGCACCGACTGTGACCGTTTTCAGACTGGCGATTCCAAGGCTGAATGACTGAGCCAGTTTCAGCCACTGATTCATTTTGCAAGACTTTTGGGTTCGTCACTTTCGTCCGAAAGAGGCCGCTACCAGTCACTTCCGATGTTCAACGCTTGCCAAGGAAGAGGAGGCTTTGCTGCAGAGCTTCAGAGATGCTCAAGCGGCGCACGAAGCGTTTGTAGAAGCCACGAAGGAGGACCCATGGGGATGTGGAGGGACCGTGGTTCCAGGGAGAAGAGGTGTTGATGTCAGCTTTGCATTCAACTAAGTGGCAACTGGCGTGTTCCCTTCAGATCGCCATGCTAGGCTCTGGGCAAATTGAAATACATCAACATAGAATCTATAGGAGCTTTGCTATTTTTATGCTCTCTCTCTCTCGCTTGCTCTCAACCTCTTAGGAGTTTGTTGGGGTGCCACCAGCCAAAGCAGGGGTTATGCTGGACTCTCCAGGCGTTTGTGATTCAGGGAGCATCTGGAAGATCTGATTGAGACCTTTTTTCAATGTCGGAGGTAGATGTGAAAAGTGACAACATTGTGCTGCAGCCAAAAAGATGGACGCAATTGTCTGAGGGTGGATCTCACTTGCGCCCCATGTGGAATTTCACTGAATGCCCTTACTGAAGCCTTTCTCAGCAGGACGAGTGAGAAGAAGCAAAGCTTGGGCTTTCTCTAAGACGGAACCTGTGATATTTCCTTCTCTCTGCTATCTCCTCCATCAGTGATTAGATAACAGGTCAAGCCCACAACAGAGAAGCAAAGAAAGGCTCCCTGACACCCAACACCCAAGCGACTCCAAGCAACTCTCTGACTGGAAGCCCTAGAAGTCTAGTTCCACCATGTTCCACCATATTTTTTGGAGGACTACCGAAGCAAATATTCCGGAAATTCCTAGACTTGGGTCACCGAGTCAGACCATCTTTAAACATCGTCTGGACTCCCATGAATGAGTCGATCCACCGGAGGACTGGCAGCTGCAGCGTGGCTCGTGGCGCGAGTTGAAGCAGCAAGAACAGCAGCTCCGGCTGGCCTCCCGTGAGGCGGCCAGCGAACGGGGGAGAGAGCTCGCTCCGCTCCATGGTTTTTAGCGTGCGAACGCTGAACGCCCGCACCGGTCATATAGAATTTTTGACGATATTTCAAGCCCCCCAGACATGGATTGTAAAACCTCTTCCGGGTTTGGAGGATCTTGGGGGTTGAAATATCATCAGTCTACCTGAGGGGTTGGCCCGGTGGCTCAAACCATGAGATCAATGGTGAAACTGCCAGTGAACTTGTGCCTTTGATCTTGAGCTTGTGAGCCATTAGATAGTCAGACAAAGATGGCTTACATGCTGGGGATGTGAACATCGCTACCATTAGGGGTAAGATGTTTCATGTTTTGGCTTCAATACAGTCAATCTTTACATATCTTTACATCAATATATATAAGCTCCAACAGTCAGTTGATCAGAAAATGATTCGAACATATCCACCACCTGTGCCTTTCCCTTCCCCATGGAGAAGTTCTCTTCTTTGTCGACGCAAGAGGGTGCCCTTCCGCAAGAGACAGAAACCCAAAGGATGTTTATCGTGTATATGATCGGAATCATCACCCGTTTGCTACGATATGGGAATAGCACAAGCAGATCACAAGGGTCTTCATGTTCAACACAGTTAGAACATGTTAAACCATATGCTAAAACTGCTCAGACCGCGTTCCACTTTTTATTATGTGGGTCATTGTGGGTCTGTCCAAATTCTGTGACAGGCCGCGAAATTCGCGTTTTGATGTGTTGGAGGCTCCAGCCTTTAGACCAACCTTTCTCAAATGAAGATTATGTAAGTTGGAAGCGATTGGAAGCGGATGGATTTGAGCCAGGGTCGATAAAACTCACTTTTGTCATTCTAATATCTTGTTCAAACATATTCAAATCACCATCACCAAAGCTGTCCGCTCCACCTTGGCTCGGCTCCGCACCGCGCGAGGCCTTCAGCCGTTGCAAGGAGCTGTTGCTCCGTGGGCGGACCTCGTTGCGGCCGGAGCTGCTCCGTGCGCCCCTGACGCGCCGAGCTTAGCTGGAGCGACTGAGGCGACCGGGTCCATCGTTGAGTGGGAACCCACCTTTGACGAGAGTGACGCAAAAAGTATGTGTTAACAGGGGAACTGAGTTCGGGAACATCATGGACCATCCCATTTCAATTACATCATTTTAACTCATAGACTTATAGTCTTTCGACTTCTGCTTGTAGCAACCTATACATGCAAGTGTTGTTTTCTGTTGACCAGGGTCATTGTTCCAGCCACCCCAAAGCGTGAGTGAAATAGAGCCTTTGGTTGTGGGTACCAAGTGCGGCAGCCTCTTTTGCCACGCGATCTCATGCAGAGCGCTGGAACGAGCGTTCCAGGTCCGACAGGCCTTGCTCGAAGTCCTGGCTCTAGAATGTAGACTGTTGATGAATCAAGCCGCCCAGGACAGGAGATGTAAAACCATTCTGCTAATACTGTAAGTTTGTTGTTGTTGTTGTTGCTTCTGAATGTCACTGGATTCTTCCACCTGGAAACCCAAACAACCAGAAACAAATGGTTGTTCCCATGTGGCAGTTGAGATCCTTTACACAGGAAGCGGCCGTTTGGGGAAACGTGCTTGTTTGTTTCTGGTTGTTGGGATTTCCATGCACTTCAAAGGACTTTGACGATGACAAGGCATCCCTCGCCTGTCATATACTGTCATATTTTGGAACGATTTGCCAGCGCGGTGCTTGGATGGTCCATGAAAACTGACACTGGACCGTGGAACCTGTTTTATCCTGTTTGATCAGTTCGATCGAACGTTGATTTGGCATGCTTTTGGCCAGACAGCTTGACAGTCATTTCATTGGCCCAGGCTGCATGATCTTTGCTGGGACGCCACCAACATGAGCGGTGTGGAACTTCCCGTCCGAACTCCCTTTGGAAATTCGATCGCACGACTCCGGAACAATGGTGACCACTCGATCGAGGGAGACTCGCTCCGCCCCGACCTAGTCTTCGCAGTGACCTTTTTCGAGACTCCAAGTCTCGTGCCATCACTGAGGCCTGACGGACTGCCAGAGACGCATGCCGCACTCGCAGGCGGTGGAGGACCAGAGGAAGCTCTTCGCAGATTGCTGGGAGAGGCTGCAGGTGCCAACAGGGCGAGCTTGCTTCGTGTAGGGAGAGCTTGTTTATGCTTTTTCAAAACTTGTTGCACGAGCTGACGGGTTTCAACACGGACCGTTGGTGATGGAAAGTGCACGATGTCAGGTGCGTTTCAGGACGAAAGCCTTTGGAGCAAGGAGGGTCCTGGCAGGCACTTTGGATGGAAGTACCGTAGTCCGTGGCATTCAAAGAGCGGTGATTTGGAGTACACGCAAGGTGTGAGATGCAAAGCTTCCGACATGAGGTTGATCTGTACTGTAGCTGTCAATATTTCTGTGGGTCAAAACCAGGAGACCTTGGTTGACCGGTTGACTCCTTGGAAGGTCAAGCTACATTGTGTTGGGGCCCCAGGTTTTGAACCGACCGATTCCATCCCCATATTTGTGTACGAATGGAACCTATACTACAGTAATTCAAACCTTATTCGCCTGTTCTTATTCACAATCCAAACATAGACTCTTGGCGGCAGACGACCGCCAAGCCAGGTCAGCTTGTTCACAGAAGCACAGAAACCAGATCAGCTCTGCAAGCACCCCTTTTGCCAAACAAGCAAGTTCCACAGCAAACCCAGAGACTGCGACGGATGCAGCTCCAAAGAAGTGCATCGATGGTGTTCTCCACACCTCGCATTGCGCCGCGTTGCATCGCGTTGCATCTGGCAATGTGTCAGGCTACTGGAGCAGAGCAAACGGATGGCGGCTCTCGACGCCTTGCCGGCACGTGCTAAGGAACTGGCCCAGCGAGGCACAGGGAACACATGGGAAGCAAAGCCTTTCAAAGAAAACACACAAATTCCAGTATAAGCACATATCCTCATATACATATATATATAATGTAAATATAAATATATATATATATATAATGTATATATATAGAGTTACTATAGTTATATATATATATGTATATGCATTCAGTTGTTTCTTTGTTTTTTCTCCGCAACTCCCTGATCCATTCTTGAAAAGCTATTCATCGGGCACTCTGTGACATTCTGCAGAAATCCGTTTTGGTTGGAATACTATTCAGATCTCTTTGAGAGCCTGTTCCAGTTTCTTCAGTCACCAAACTCTCTTGGAAGCATTTGGCGCTCTTGGGCTTCGACTGGCCGATGATCTGCATCATGTGTTCATGTCCTTAGCTATGAGGGGTTTGTTTGGGATCGTCACGCCTGATCTTGGGGTGCTTCGGGGTGTTTCGCATCAGTGAACTCTCCAAAGAGCGGCTTTGTGATGGGGCGGAGATTCGGAGATGCGAATGCAAGTATGCTAGAGCGGGTAAGGTTCCTAAGGACATAGATCTGATGTGAGAACTTGCTTTCCCGAGCTAGGACACCTCCTAGGGATGCAAATGCCTTCGAGGCATCAACAGATTTTTCTGCGACGGGAGGACCTGGCACACTGGGCTCCTTGCTTTGTGCTATCGCAGAAGAGACCTTTTTGGCGGCGAAGGGTTGCGAGCATGTGCTGGTCATCGGCGGACATGGTGAGCCTGGCCTGTGGGGTTGGGATTTTGGGGCGTACAAGGTCATCCCGATATATCCCGATGTTACTCTCTATCCAACAAAATGCCTAAGCAACAGGAAACAAGGGGCATTTCCTGGAGGGAGAGAAAATCAAACAGGAGCCGGTTCTTCATTGATGCGGCGATGACCTGGGGACTGAAAGGAGGCGGTTTTATGGCGAGCTCAGAAAGAGTGTCGTTTCCGGTTTTGAAGAATGTGGCAGGTGAACTTTGGAAGGGTGTTTGCTTGCATGGAATCCTGCATGTACTGGTAAGCCAGGGTAGCTGTATGTAGCCTTAGTCAAGCTGTCTAACGATCACAGAAATTGGTTGGTCTCCAACACCAGGAGACTCCCACAAGACCATGGGAAAGGTCAATTGTGTTCAGGTGCTGGTATGCTACCTGTCCTAATGTTGAGATACACCCAAATCCCACCAAAAGCTATATAATTTGATTAATAATTTATTTGATGGACTAGTTTGAAACACCTCGACCTGTCATTGAGACTATGACCCCTTCCACGTCTTGTGTCGTTTCTGGGGGATTCTTCTTCAAAAACAAAACAAGCCCTTGCAGATTGAAGAACTCTTCCTTTGGACCCTCGCAGATTGAGGTATCTCTGCCGTGTCCGCTGCTCGTGCTGGGGCCCGCGCCGTGGTGCTGTGGGAGCCCTTGGAGGATGTGGCGTGCGCGGCTCGCGAGGTCGGGAGGTCAGCCCAACCAGTGTATATACACGATTATACGTGCGTGTATAATTGTAGTTATATATACCCTAGGACTCCATCGTACTTGTACCTTCTGAGAACCTGTTTGAGGTGGGTTTGGAGGGTCCAAATACCTGACGAGGCACTTGCAGCCCTAGGGGTGAGTCGTTCCGAGTGGTTGCGGTTTCAGGCGAGATACGGATGGCACCCTGAAGCTATACTTGAAGCTGTTTTTCTTTCGATAAACTTAATTCTTGCGTGCTTGGAGCAGTTTTTTGACGACTTGTGCGTGCTCTACGCTTGTGCAGTACTTTACTTTTGCATGTGCGAAGCAGGGCCATGGGGAAGAGTGGTCATCGCCATCACATTTATTGAATCTATTGTTCATGCAAATCATTTCATGTTTCCTTGGGCGTCACTTTATCATGGCGACTTTGTTTTGCACCTTTGTTCTGTCTGCTTCAACAAGGATGTTTGTTCATGCTCATCAGTTTCACAACGCTGTCATCGGTTTCAGAACATTGGCATCCGAATTCGCACTAACTCACCCAATTTGTCATCTAATGACCATGATTAAACAGAAGGCATATCAATATAGATTGTCTGTAGCTCTCTACGAACACTTGGCCGGAAGAACGTTCCACAGCAAGGGACAGGTGTATGGGCAGATGTTCACCCAATGCCTTCCAGGTTGTGCCAGGCAAAATTCGCAGTCCGTCACTCCGTCACACTCCATGGCGTCGCCTGCATATTTAGTCCGTCACAGGCAGAATCTCCAAGGCTTCGGCAATGTTCAAGAAAAGACGTCCGTTTTAAGGTCCAAAACGATCCAAAAAAGCAAAGCGCAGCTGTCAGACTGAAGAACTGCAGTCCGCCAAGCTAGCAGTAGTTGTCCAAAAAAACCAAAGGCCTTGTTATCCTTGCTCTAAATATGTGGCGTGCTCAAGGATTGGAGACACAGTGGATCTCCCAAGGAGATCGAGCGATGAAAAACATGTTAGCGGAGAGCACGCGGTCGCTTGCAGTGCGGAACCTCTGTATGTAGCTGTGTTTGCACATGCACACTTGAAGCAACCTCTCTGCGTGAAAACACCAAGATGGTCTGTCGATCCTAAGTCCATCAAGGCAGTTACCGATAGGCCTCTGGATGGCGAAACTGTACTTTTGTGTCCCAGGTGCTGCGGAGAAATCTCAAGCAGGAAGAGGTGCGGAAAGCTGGTGCTAGGGCTAGGATCATCGTTTAGAGTTGGCAGATAACAATCTCTTCCGAAAGGTCAGTTTCAATCACCAGTCACACGGCGTCACACGGTTCCTGAGTGGTTGGCATGAAACACCACTGCAGACTACCACCAGAGCTGGCACCAACCCCTCACCATCACACAACCCACTGGCCGCCACGTTGTGTTGCTGTTGCAGTTGACACGCTGCGTCGTGAAGACGGGCGATGTCGCCGACGTCGCGTTGTCGCTGCCTCCGGGAAGCCTGGTGGTGGTGGACCGATGGCATGGCTTGGGTGTGTTAGGCCGGGCCGACCAGAAGCGCCGGTGTTCCGGGGTGCTTCCATGCCAATCTTTTACGTTTTTGTTCCGACAGATTACAGGAGTGAAGTGAGTCATTAAGTGACTCAGCAGGTATCTCAGACAACCACAACCCAAACACTTCTCGGTCTCGAAGCTTTGAGGGACTTACTGATTGTAATTGAATTTTTGGAGGGTCTGAAGAGTCTTCAAGAGGATGATTTCGCAAGAATTTTGGCTTTGGCAGTGCTTGCGGTGCTTCATTAATTCAATTCAAATCAGGCTTGGCACAACCTCTTCGCTCCCAAGATTAATGAGGATCCTTCTTGTGGTTTACTGCCATTGACTTTGAGGCCACTCTGATTCGGGGTGACCTCACGACTGCCATTGCCCTAGAAGCCCAAAGACTATAAATTTGGCACTCCCGAAGTAGAGGAAATCCCCAGACTCGGGTCATCTAAAGACCATTTTTTCACAGGGACTGCCGCTCTTGTCAGCCCAGCAGGTTGGTGTCCTTTGTTGGCCTTGCGGCAAGTCTTGGGTGGAGCCGCTGCCCCTTCAGGTGTGTGGACACCAACGGGTGGAAATCTGGGAACAGAGGCGTTCGGCTGGGTGAGAGCAAGCTTTGGACCGCTCGTTGTTCATATTGAGTGACCTCCAACAAATCTAGCGTCAAGTTTTTGTATAAAATGGTCACAGGAAGTGAGAATTTCTCATATCATATGCTGAAGTTTCAGTTCTTGGAAGAGACCGTTTTGGTTCACAAGCTTTCTCAAGACTCGAATGGGTCCAATTCCTCTCGGTGTTTCAATTTTGGGGGGATCTACTTGAGATTTGAGCCAAGGTTGGGGGCGGTATAATATGATAAAATACTAGGAGCAAGGACGCTACTAGGAGCAAAGGGCATCGCTACTAGGAACAAGCTGGCCTTGCTACTAGGGGCTCCCTGTCAGGTGACTCAAAGATTGTCTACTGTATCACTGTCTTTTCTCGGTGGTGCACAACGGCAGCGATCAATTTTGATAGACACCATCCTTCACCACTGAACACGCGAGTAGAAAAGAGCTTCCGTGATCCCTGACCCTGTACCCAGTGGGTTTGCATCTGTGTTTTAGAACACAGCACAAGGGTAGGTCAAAGACAAGGGTAGGTCAAAGCGAAAGTACCTCGGAACCGGTACGGTTATATAGTAGGTTGATCGTGAAGATTCCCCCAATTCGACTGACCAATGTTGACTCATGCCTCCCTGCCTGGACGGTAGAATATCTTCAGACCTGGTGGCAACAGGCTGAAAGAAAGGTCTACAGGTCAAGTTTCCCTAAAATCCCTACACATTTTATACCAAATGACTAAATAATTAGTGCGAGCGCTTCTTCAAGGAAACTCCCCCCGTCCCTCAGGCGGGGGAGCTTCCTTGAAGAAGCATGAGCTATCCTGCGCCCACATGTAGTATAGCGTCCACGTAACTAGGATCGTACAAGTTTGTTCCTTACTTAATTCAGTGGGCCCCTACTTATATAATTAAGAGTAATTATATAAGTATTAGGAGGGCAGAGGCAGAGGGCCGGCCGAGCAGGCCAAAAAAACTGATAGAACTCACTCACCCGATTGCACACAGTTCGACGAGTATATGGCTGCAGAAAAATAAGTCCAAACGCAACAGACATTCCTCTAGGGCACTCTTGAGGGGCAATCTTGTGACTAAACTCTGTGGGCAATCTCTCTTCACCCCTTTGAGGTGAAACAGCCATCACGAGACTTCTCAGCTGGGTGCCTTCCGCTCAAGGTGTGGTGCCTTCCAAGCTGAGCATTTCACTGGCTTTGGCCGACGCCGGGCTCCACAACACGCAGGGCTTGGACCTCTCGGGCATGGACGCGCGCTTCCGGCCGCTCTCGGTGGCACCCTTGAAGGCGGGGAGTCGAACGAATCGTCGGTGGGGTTTGTTGGGTGACGTTGTGGTGGGGGCCCGTCTGGGGACGTGGATCGATCAGGATGGTGACCTATTTGAACACATTTGGTGGTGGATTTTTAGGCGTTCTCCTGTTTTTTGGGCATACATCCGTTCTTGAAGGGCTTGGTGCGTTCACAAGGCTTTGGGTTTGGGTTCCCAGCAGTGTCTTCAGCGCCTTTCAGGTTGGTGTGGGCGAGCATCCACATCCGACATCACTGCGGCCGAAGCTTCTCACGGACTTTGTTCAAGCCTTTGACTATGATGCTCGTTCCCAAAATAAGAGGGTCAACAGCAAGGACTTTCGATCCTTTCAGTAAACTTCAGTACTTTTGACTTGTACCTTCCACTCATCCTGCATCATCCTGCTTGCTGAAGTGGTGTCCCTTTTGACTCAAGCAAGCTGCCACCATGCAGCTCTTGCATGATAAGTTAAGTTTGTGTGTTGCAGCCTTTGCGTCTATTCTCTCTTTACCTCGACACGTTTGTGCCGAGATGCTGGATGCCACAAGACTGCACGAAAGGACGAACATCCTTTTTTACTTGGCCTTGAACAGAAAGAAAGGCTTGCGCTTTCCAGTCCGACCATGAAACGTGGACATGTGGTTGTTTATGCCTAGGGACTGAAAACCGGACCCACTTTTCTGACATTTTTGGACTCCACGACGCTTGGTCATGTCATCGCATGGTGTTGGGGGGGCGGGGGGGTGGGGTGAGGGTCAAATTCCCCGCAGTGGAGCGTGTAATGCATAGTATCCCTGGATTCAACTCACAGTCCAACAAGGTTCACAAGAGCGAGTGGGCGAAGGCGATCGAGCGGCTGTTTTCACACGCACATACCTTGAGCCAAATGTTCTGGCATGTCAATGCATTGCGTAAGAGCATATCGCAAGATACTGTAACCAAGTTGAAGCAATAGCGTAAATGGGTGCCCAAAAACAGAAAACATGGGGGGTGCTGTAATTTCGTTCTTGTTTTCACATACGTCTCATGAGCATGAAGGCTCAAGACGTAGCCACGGTGTGTGCTTTAGTTTTGTTGTTTCGGTTGTCGGGTGTTCCTTGTCCTCCTCGTTTTTGTGTTTTCTTCCTTTGTGGTGCGTCAGCCCTTTTTCTTTAGAACAGTACGTAGAGGGCTTAACTCGTGATTGTTCTGACCCTTGAGTTGCTTTTGTTCACGAAACAGGTTTGGGTTCAGATAGTGGCTGGGTAAACTGGGAGCAGGTGTTAGAAACTCGTTTTTCGTTGTTCACACTTTGGTGCAATGTGTGGTTGAGGTTTTCTTTTTCGAAAAACATAAACTAAGTCCTTTTCTGTTGGTGACTGTTGGTGACTGTTGGTGTTGAGTTGGCGTTTGTTGCGTAGTTGTAGCGGCTCCATGTCGGATGGGTGCGCCGCCGCTGATTTGCTCGACAATGGCATCGATGAAAAAGACTTGCACACGGAGCCTGACTGGGGACAGCTAGATACACAAAAAGCAGGCAACTTGAGGTGTCGCGAAAAAGACATTTTTTATTTAGGCAAAACGCATGACAAAGCACTGCGCTTACCAATGAATTTGACATGAGAACAGGCAAAAAAGGGTACGGTTTCCAATCCGTACGGTTGTTTATGAAATCAGGGATTGTTGGAATCCTAGGTCCTAGGTGCTACCACAAAGATCAGAACCTGCAACTCCTTTAAAAAAGAACTGCGACGTTCCTGTGCCTTTTCCGGTGTGAAGCTTCTGGACATTTTTCCCTCTCCTTTTCTTGATTGTTCAATTCAAGCAATCTGAAGCTGAAGAATCCACTCACTCAAGAACCTCCCACATCTTGCAATGAAACCTCGAAAAATCTTCTCACATCTAAACCAGAACATCCCGTCCATCCTCCAAACCGGTGTCTCATCGGCCAAGGATTTGGCTCGCCCAGCACCGCCGAGCGATGGTCCCAAGCCCCTGGCTTTCTCGGCGAAGCCGTCGAAGGTCGCCGCCACCGCGGCACTCTTCGAGTGTCGCTTCGAGCTGCCCAGGCGTGGGCAGTGGGGAGGTGTGGGGCCGGTTTCGGTGGTGAGGTGTGCAGCAGAATGCTTGGATGAAGTGGCTTGGATGAGAGTTTGTATGCTTGGAGGTTTAGAGAGGGGATGTTCCGATCTTTTGCATTGATTTAGGCAGCAGTATGGATGGTTCCTGCATGATAGTCCCTTTGAAGCATGGTGGCAGGTCCAAAGGCAATGGGTCGTTGCGCTTCGCACAATGGCTGCCTGGTGCTTTGCAACTCAAAGGTGCAGACATGGGGCTGTGTGCGTGGCGTAATGACAGCCGAGTGTGGCTCGAGTGGGATGCTGCTGCTCGTCACAGTTTGGCACGTTTATTTTACCAGCTGATGGGTGGACTGCTCAAATTTTGGGGTCATGTCCAGACTCCCTTTCCAATAATTCATAATAATTGCATTTTCATGTTCAGAACGAGCTGCCCTGACTCCAAATGGGACCCTGAACAAGATTAGATCATGGAAGATTTGGATCAATCCGAATCCATCCGCCTTTTTGACTCCGTGACTCCGGCGTTGGATCCGCGACTCCACGTGCGTTTGAGACTTGAGGCCAAAAGCCTTCACCCACCCTTTGGATTTATGGCGCTCAGTGACTGGTACTTTGAGATGCTGCGGGATTCTGCCAGGCAGAAAGATGGAGGGTCCGACAGTCTACCAAGAGCGGCCAAGTGTTTTTGTCTTGGATGGTCTGTTCCGTTTTGGAAGGTATATACTGTATATACACAGTATGGGGTAATAGGATGTAATAGGGTCAATGTTTGCAGTGAAAGTTCTTGTTGTGACCAGTGGACCATCATACTGGTCATGATCATCAATCTAAATCATTGGATCCGAGGAGGTGGAGGACAAACTGTGTTTCCCGTCCCCGCTATATAATCGCCACGAACGAAAGTGTCCAACGACTTTTTGAGTCCGGACCGCGATGACCCTCAACTTGCTTCATGTGGATGGTATTGTCAAGCAGAATACATTGAATACATTTGTCGCAGAAATGTTCTAAACTCTTCAACTCTGGAGGCACGAGCTCTACGAGCGGGCGCTGCAAGTGGAAATCACCAAGAAGAAGGAACCTCAGTCCAAGCCTTCGGGAGGTTGGCCGTGAGGGTTCCACAGGGTTCCACACGCTGCCACCACCGTGTACCACCCTGTGACGCTCTCCAATCCCAGCCCCAGGTACGAATGGACGCACGAAACCAGAGGATGGTCGAAGTGCTCCGAATCCGGGCCCTTCTCCAAAAGGAAGGGTTTGCTTCGGGTCTGGAACCGTGTGTTTCGTTGAGGTTCCGACCGCATTTCAGTGTCAGTCAGTCCAAGGATTCTTAGAAGTAGGGGCCGGACTGTTATATGGACCCAGGGACCAAGGCCTGTTTGCAGTGTCGGGGCTCTTTTTTGCTCCAAGGTTCTTATATAGATATTTTTGAGAACATTTTTGGAAAAACACATTCTTAATCATTCTTAGATACTCTTAGGCTGGGGTCCCAGTACCTCCGATTCCGTCCTTGGCGCAAACGGGGGCTTTCTCGGCGCAACGGGGCAGTGCTCGGACATTCAGTGATGATTAGATCGAGTCCTGTGACCTCGCGGGGTCACCGGTCTGAAGAGTTCTAGCAGGAAAGCATGACATCGCCATCGCCGGGCTGATTTCAATAGATCTTTTCTTTTTAAGATTTTGTTAAGCCCATGATGCTATGAAATTCATGGAATTCTATGAATCAAGCAGTTTGCAAATCCGGGTATGGCAATCTCGGAAAGTGAAATAGCTTATAAGGACAGTCACAGTCCAATCTGATCAATATTCGTTGCCAAATGTGCGATTAAGGAAACAAGTTCAGAGTGCAAAGTTCTTGACGTTGGCAGTGGTGATGGCACTTTGTTTGCAAGCAGCGTCTTAGTACTTCTCAGTACTTGCGTCATTGCCCTTTTGCCAATTTTCAGATCAACCAGTTCCTAGTCCTAGTAAGAAACGTTTCCACCCCAAAATCCAACGTTCCTAAAAGTCGTTTTGGCCCCCTATGGCCGGGTCTGCTCGCCAAAACTGGTCTTCGTCAGGTATTTTGTCGCTGATGGCCTTGCGTGCTGGCGCCACCTCTGGTCTGGGTGGCTTGGAAGTAGTACTCAGAGGGATGGTTGACTGGATCTATATACTGGTGCCACCCAGTTTGGTTGGAGCGGTTCTTTTTCTTTTTTAAAGCTACTTACCTACCGATACCTACCGTACCTTTTTTCAAGAGGAACCGACTGGTGCGTTTGAAGTGCATGGAATGAGGGTTGGTAGCTTGATCAAAGGGGGGGGGACACTTTGCTCATTCCTGTTTGTGAAGGTCTCGCGGCTTCGGACGGAAGAAAGGATTGATCCAAGGATAGAGTGAAGAGGAACGTGGACATCTACCCAATTTACCTGAACCAAAGGCCGAAGGAGACCTCATGCAAAACACAATTCTTTAAGCATGGCAGTGCGTCCACGTCGAACCCAGATCTGCACGGATCTGCAACTATCCTGTTCATTCTGCGGTGTCAATTGGGGTGTATGGAGTGAGCTTATTCCTGCACTGCCAAACTGAATCGAAATCCATATACATGGAGAATTGCCAGGCTGAGTGATAGATTGGTTTCAGATGGTTTCAGGATGTTTTAGTCTGGTTGGGAGCTGGGATTGGTAGGTTTCATTGATCTTAGATGACAGACTTGGCCAATTGGTGTTTGGCTGTTTCCATGGTTTCCACGTGACGAGGCGTGGAGTACGTGGCACAGATCGCCCGAGCCAGTGAGGAGGTGGTTGCCGAGAACCGCCGGGCCGAGGCAGATGAAGATGATGAGCCTCCAGTCATGGAAGTGAGCAGTGGTCCTGGCACATCGTGACATATCGTGACAACCCCAAGTTTGGCTAGTTTAGTAGGATCAACTAAAGTTCAGCCCAAGTTTTCACAGCTTGTCAGTGTCTGCCATCAGCCATCCCTGCAAGCCATGGATGTGGATCAAAAGCTCACCCGCCTACAACATCCTACAACCCATGGGTTCGCTTCACCTCGAATTTCTGAGAGACCATGGGTCCACCAGGGTGACGGGCGCTACACTTCCTCAGGCGGTGCCTGAGACCCCCTTGGAGATCCGCTGTACGGACGTGAGGCCCGTTCCGGGATCCCTGGAACGCCGGGCCGTTCCGGGTTGCCATGTGCTCAACAGCAATAAGAGAATGGGACGTGATTTGTTTTCTTCTGTCATGTTCTTTCCGTTTTTATTTGCAAGCTAGGTTTGGAATCCATATGAGAGATTGGGATGGAGATTTTGATTGTTGATGGTGATACAGGTTTAGCATGGTTTAGCTCATTGGGAACAAGCCCTCGCTCTTCCAGCAAGAAGCAGGTCTGCGCCTTTGTTTTACTGTGGGAATCGAGGATACACATACGAAACATCGTCACTCCCCTACAGTGGATGGATATCGTGGATACTGTTCAATTCGGTGCGAGAGGCCCCCACAGTCTAGGAGCTGGGTCCTGGTACCTTCTTTTCGGATGGTCGAATGGAGGTGAATACGTACTTCCAGAAAATGGTCTTTGGCACCACAGGACATCTTCAGGATGGTCCTGGACCCTTAGGGGCAGGTACAACCTGGTATATATATAAATAATGGAACTCATCGGTCATGTTGGCGATGCACTGCACTCCCACTGGTTGGTCATGTTAATGTTGGCTAATTGTTCAGCTTCCACAGGAATGACATCAAGAAGCCTTTGGATTGGACCACCACGGAACGATGTTTGCGAGCACATGTGAGCACATCGTGCGGCACGCCCTCCCCTCCACAATCGTAGGTGGAACAATCGTAGGGGCCGGGGGGGATAGGAAGGTGCAGGGGGTACACTTCTTGAAGTAATTAGTCATGGAAATGCATGGCATGGCGCCTGGGAAAGATCATTCTCCTTTGCAAACACGTGGTTGTCCACAACTTCCATAGATGATTTCAACGAGCGTATGTCTTCCAAACGTGTCCGATTCCGGGAGCATAGTGATCACCGAGTCACCGAGAGCCTGCTCAGGGGCATTGAAGAGCGTCCAGAAAAGGAGCGTTTTGAGGTCTTGGTCACAGAATTGATGGATGCCTCTGGGCTTGGGGAGACCCTTGGCTGTGAGAGCCTGGCAGATTTCTTTGATATTTTTCTCAAAAGGAAGCAGATGCGGAGCATTGCGATCTGTGGAAAGTTGCAATTTGAGGACCAACTTGTTCTGTACGCCAGGCTTTACAGAGTTTTGATCCCTTCAATGAGCACTTTTGCCTGTTGCATGAAGAAATTCATCAGGAGGTCTCGCCAGCCTGAGCTCGGCTTCCAAGCCGAATAGGTCCCCATGCTGTACCTTTGCTTGAAGTAGGGTCACACCACCCGAACCAGCTTAGGGGCTGCTTTCTTGGTGAAGGCGACGGCCACTTTTTGGGTTGACCCGAAGAACTTGATTGCATCCAAGATCTGCCTCTTATCACCAGCCCAACATTCTTAGAAGACCCACGCCCTGATCTTTGTGACTCTGATTGCCATAGTTCTTGATCTCGTGGGAAGTCGCGGTGGATTGCAGACAGAGCACACCAGGCAGCACGGAGCGTCCGAGGAACCTCATCGCCCTGACTGAGGGTTCCAAGCGACGGCTCTGTAAGAGTGACTGCGCCGTGATCCCCAATGCGCTGCGCCTCAAAGCCGTGCTTTGCGAGGCGGGCGCCTTATTTTTTGGCGGTCGGCATGATGATGACTTGGAATCCTGGAAATGTAGGACTTGGAAGAATTGGCTTGACATGTCCAAAGTTTAAGATGTTTAGGCATCAGGGTTGATTTTGATCGGCTTGCTTCTCAGAGCTGGTTTGAGAAAATGGAGGATGTATGGTGGCCATGATCGTATCATCCCTTCTGTCGCGATGACGGTCCCAGGTTGGAGGCCATCGCTATTAGGTTCGCAGAGCGTAGGACTACTAGCTTAATCTTCAATCTTGGACTAATTTCCAGTGGCCACTTGGGCCCCTGATCGAACAATCTCCATCATTTGAGGATGTCTGCCAGGGCTCCCTGTTTGGGGATGCTTGGGTTGTCTATGAATAGCTCCGAAAAGACGTTAAGGGGTGTCCACCCAATCGTGGGCTCTGGTTCATCTTTGGACGACTACGCCGGTGGGTTCTGGGCTCTATATATATATATATCTATATAGATGGTTGTATCTTTCTACTATATACTTCAAACTGACTCTGCAAAGAGGAATGTCTTGAAATATATAGTTCTCCTTGGTAGAAATTCAACGTTCATGTTTTCTCTCGCAGTCCCGGACCCCAGTGGTGGTTACTGCATTGAATAGAGCTGGATAGTGGCAGGCCCAGGGTTAACTCAGACACCGCACTTTGCCACGGAGTTACGTTCTGTTTGGGCTTTGCTTTTGGTCTCGCCACCCAGTTGCCTCTATCACACCTGTTTGGTGCAGGTTGGTAGGGTGTAGTCGCCGAGCCATGTGCTGTAGAGTCTGTCATAGTACTATGTTACTATACAATCGTCGTAGCCAGTAGAGACAAGACCATGACCATGACCATTTCTTTGTTGCCTCGTCTTATCTCGTCTTCCTCTTCCGATGCCCCCGGATGCCTGTCGGGATGCCTCCAGATGCCGTGACTCTTCTTTGGGAGGTGAAACTCCCGGATCTCAACGGCGTGAACATCGATGCTTTTTGGCCTTTTTGGCCCTTGGACCGTGCCGGAGAGGCGTTGTGGCTGGGCGTGGATCTGGACAAGATGGAAGGAGTGGCAGAGCACGCAGCGCTGGGAGAGCTCGGGACGATCTGATGTTGAATCGAAGGGAACATCGATAGGAACCCCATGGGTTGGGCGGTGAAAACCATGGTTTTCTGATGTTTTTTGTAGATGTTCGCTCAAAACCAATCGCTTGAGAAAAGGGGATCCAGTTTGGATTGATTCATGGGCTTTGTGCGCGCCAGGAAGATGGAAGAATCATGAACTTCTTAAGTCCCGATGGCCAGCCTTGAAATCAATGTCCTTCCATGGTTGAAGTTAGCTATGACAAGGTCGTTGGCAATCATCACGGTATGTGGGAAGTACAGTAATCAAGGACTTTTGAAATCCAAGCCTGTAGGTGGCACTTCCCTCAGCCATAACCGTGAGACGACCTGAATGCTTTCCGCGCTTCAGGAGAATTCAAGGTACTGACCGATGCTGTGGAGCTCTTCTCTTTGAGCTTGGGAGAGGCTTTTGTGGGGTGGAGAGGCTTGCTTTCAGAACTGATAGAACCTGATAAGACCATAAAGACCTCTAATCCAAAGCAGATCTTGCAATCTTCGAAACTGAATAGAACAGAGTGGACTAGCCGCCGGGATATGAAGCGATCGAACGGGTCATGCTTGGTTGGAGGCAGACGTGGATGCCATCCCCACACGCGCCAGCTACAACTTCACTGGCATTGCTGATGGCACTGCGAATATGGTAGTTTGGTCAGAGTCCAAGTTCGTCAGTGCAAGAAGTGACCCATCAACTTTCGATGTGGAAAGGCATTTGACATCATTTGAGAGCATTCCGCCAAATCACGGTACCCGTCTTCTCCTAGTAGCGTCCTTGCTCCTAGTAGTAAGGCCAGGAGCCCCTAGTA